CTTAACATATTTTGTACCTAACTACTTATCATTTTTTAGGAGGACATTTGATATTTTTCTACTTTGAAATATACATTATTTATGTCACTTTAGTTACTTTGCTACACAACATATCTGACATTTATTCTTGACATCTATCTGACATTCTGTCCTCTTTATTACAAATTACATTCACTTTGTGCATGTGTGCACCACGGCACATGTGGAGGCCACAGGGCAACTTTTGGGAGGCAGTCATCTCTTTCTACTATTTGGGACCCAGGGATCCAACTCAGATCATCAGCTGACTTTACACTCTGCGCTATCTCATCAGCCCTGAAACTCTGTGGCCTGATCAACAACTCCTCATTCCTTCCCACTCTGTACTCTGGCTAACTATCATTCTACTTCTATGACATCATGCAGTATTTGTCATTCTGAGCTTGGCTTATTTCCCTTAGCATAATGTCTTCTTGGTTAATCCATGTCCCAAATGACAGGATTTCCTGCCTTTTTGAAGCCAAATAGCATCTCTATACCACATTTTCCACTGTGCATATGGACTAGATTTTCTTCATCCCTTCATTCATTAATAGATAAAGGCTGATTCTATGGCTTAACTGTTGTGAGTAATTTGGGTATGGACATGGTGGTGGTCAGTGTTTCCTCTTTAATACAGGGCTGCTAGTGTGACTGCCTCACTGTCAGTGATATACAGGTGGCTAATATTTGGAAAGGAGGTTGAGATGGTCTATGCGCATCCAGAATTAGAAGGACCTTAAAAGTTCGGCAGAAAACTCTGTGTTTTAGAGTAGGCTATGGAGAGCCACTCTGGCGTACAGACTCTGGAACTGAGGCCCAGGGATAAACTACCATCCCGTGTTTCTATCTAGAGAGGGAGGATGTGGGCTGGAATCGGAGCTGCTGTTGTATTAATTTTGTTTAGCTTCTCAGAGCTTCAACGCTCTTATTTGTAAAATGGAGTTATAATGATGCCTGTCTCATTCTGTGTGCAAATGAGTGTGAAGTGTGAGAGTGTGAGAGCATCTTCCCTCTCACATAGCAAGCGTTCTCAACAATGCCCACTATTATGACCTAGGAGGCTAGGCTCTGGGTCAGAAGGCGGTGTGCTTAGGATGCCATTCTAGTACCTTCCCACAAATGTTTACCGAGACACTTGGAAGCCCACAGAAGGAAGCATGAACGTCTGGTAAGCTAAAATGATTCCAAGGGACATTATCACACTCGTACACCCACGACAACACTCCCTTCCTTAAGTAACTCTTATCCTGACACCAGAGCAAGAGTTGAAGAACTCAAAAGAAAATGTCTTAAAATCTAGATGGAAACAAAAGTGACTCTGGCAGGCTTAGAAAGTGCTGCCTTGTAGGGACAAAGAAGTTAGCAAATTCTGCCACATTTTACCAAAGATGGCAAGAGTTAAGACATCTCAACTACACGGAAGATCCAGTTAGAGGTCAAACTTTTTACAGTACCTTGTCCACGTAACGTGGCAATGGCCACATTTGAGTCTTGCCCATCCTACCGCTCTTCCGAGTTCCAGAAGGACAGATGCAAAACCACGCTTATCTTTGAACTGACCACATGATTGGACAAGTAAGTACTGCAGTACTTGTTAACCGAAATGAATTTGTGAAATGGATTGTTCCAAATGAAAGGCTTGTATCCGAGCTATGAGCTTCGGTATAGTCAGGCTTATTGTTTTCTATAAAAGCATTTCCATAATATCTAAGTGTTGAATGAACAAAACGTGTACCGATGCTGTGGTAGAGTTTCCAATCAATCCGAAGCACAGTCTTATCCTCGGATCTAGACACCCGGGACATGGAGATTTCAAAGCTTGGCAGCTGTTCGGTAGACTTGAGTCATTATTCTTTGTGTAACTGGAAGTAGACTGCCTTGGGTCAATCTTGGACTAGGAATTCCAAGACCCAGGTTCCCTAGTCCCCTTTGCCACTCAACACTCTAGTCACAATGTCTATATCGCGGTGAAAGGATTCTCCATACTGAGTTTTCTTTGGAGAAATAAAGTATACATAAACACGATAAACAGGGTTACTTAATAGTCCATCTTTTTCTTAGATCTGAGTTCTTTATTTACTTTTGGGGTTTTTGAGACAGGGTTTTTCTATATAGCCCTGGCTGTCCTGGAACTTGCTATGTAGATCAGGCTGTCTTCGAACTCATGGAGATTCCCCTGCCTCTGCCTCCAGAGTGCTGGAATTGAAGGCATGTATCATCACACCCGGTCATAGATCTGAATTATTATTATACAGTTAGTATTTTATTTGGGGGTGAGAAAAAAACACATTTTTGGGGGGTTTTAGTTCTGGCACCGTTTTCTCTTCATCAAAACAAGTAGGAACTATACCACTTCTCGACCTTTCCAGTAAGATCAAGTGCAGGATGAGGAACCTTAGCTTAAGCTGCTGGACACTGGATGGCAAAGAAAAGAGAGGTCAGGGGAACAGAGACCTAGGAGACAGAATGGCCACAGCCTTGAAACCACAGACCATAGCGGCTAACAGCTCTTCTCCCCAAATTTCCATGTAAACTCAAATAACAGAATCCGGAGCAGTGGAATGCTGAGACCCTTTAATACAGTTCCTCATGTTATGGTGACCCCCAACCACAAAATTATTTTCATCGCTACTTCGTAACTATAATTTTGCTACTGTTAGGAATCGTAATGTAAATGGCTGTGTTTTCTGGTGGTTTTAGGCAACCCCTGTGAAAGGGTCACTCGACCTCCAGAGGGGTCATGGCCCACAGGGTGAGAAATGCTGATCTAGAGCCTGTAGTCATGCTTGAAAGTCCTCGCGTGCAACAGGGCTGTGATTCACAAACACAACACCAGCAACAACAAACACCTACATGATGGTCATACGGGTTGAGTCTTCACTCTTAGAAATTATCATTGATAGTAGTATCAATAAAACATTCCAGGCTCACCAACAACTTAATAGTGTGAAATAAAATTGGGCTTATTTAGATATTGATTTGTGCCATTAGTTAATGTTGCAGTGATAACGTTCTGACACACTATGGTGATAGAGTAAATCAGTCAAGGATTATTTTTTTCTTTTAAAAAGAGGAACAAGAATAACAATCATTTAAAAGAACCACACCTCTAGATTGTTAAACAAGCATTCAAAGTAGCACCGGAAAGGAAAGAGAGTAACCTTACAGGGCGCAAATCCTGGTGATGGAAATATTTGTTCTCAGTGCAAAGGATTTACAGGTCAGATAATGTTCAAATCCAATATGCACGAAAATGCTTTAAGAGTACAGACACAGCAGCTTTTGAAGTGTTCTTGTCTTAGTACATATTTCAGTGTTCCTTCACGCTACTGTAAATGGTGTGTGTGTGTGTGTGTGTGTGTGTGTGTGTGTGTGTGTGTGTGTGTGTGTGTGTAAGGGCACACAGACTTGGAAGGAAAGTATACTTGTTTCCAACGACTTCTCTCTTAGGTGGAAACAGTGAAGAGGAACTCTGAGAGCCAGCCACGAGCTCTAAATCAAATAAAGTACACATTATTGTGAAAGCGATCAACACATGGCATCCAATAACCAGAGACCTGGATCTTCCCAGAGATCAATCACAAATGGAGGAACTGAAGCAAATTTTAGCAAGGTTTCTTGACATGACGCCGAGATTTGAGGAGTTTCCCCAGATCTCTTTTGGGAATTAGAAAACATCAATCATACTTTCGGACCCAATAATTCTCATCACCACCGGATCGCAAAATAGACAATGCATCTTTAATGAGGGAAGGCAGGGAGAAAGGGAAGAAAAGAGCTGGAGAAGGGGGAGGGAGGAAGAGAAAGAGACAGAGACAGACAGACAGACAGACAGAGACAGAGGCAAGCGGTCTCCACAGAAGTTTAGAAAGCCTTTCCCATCGGAACGCAAGCTAGCAGTTCAGTCTGGACACGTCCCCACCCCCAGAGGTCACTTACTGGACTGGGCCAACTTTGCCTTCTCTCTTGCCGAGCACTTTGGCGGGCTTGGCGTCCTCCACCTCTTGCTGGAGCTCAGTCATCGGGGCCGCGTCCCGGGCGTACCCCAGGACTTGGCTCCCTAC